CTTCGTGCGTATCAAGGGAATTTCCTTGGTGCGTCGTATGGTCACGTCGGCGCGTACTTGTCGCTCTTCATCAAGGGACGACGATATCATACCATTAAGAGGCGTGCGAAAAACAATGCCAGGCCGCGATGTCGGACTCGAGAGCTCATTTAGAGCCACGTGATGAAGCCATGGATTTGGTTGACTACAGTTACGTGACAGTTACATGTGATGGAACCAATCGGATCGAGTGGTCCGATGTGCTGGCAGCACGAGCAGACAGTAACCAGGGACCTTGAGCCCAACACTAGTACATAGGTTACTGACCGACACACGCTTGCGTGGTCGAGCATCAAGACGCGTTGCAGAAGGGGAATACAAAGACACAACCTTCCGACCTACCACTCCCAAGTCGATGGACGATTGCCGCCAAGGCGGCGCGTGTCGCTCAACTGCACTTGCACCACAGCCTCATTCAAGAGCCCAAGCATCTTGAGTTCGTCGGCTTCTCCGGCTCCTCACCCAACACGAGTGGTCGCACCTTCGCGCTCCTGCCTCCGCCTGCCTAGATCAACTGGCGCTGGTCATGAACCTCGACGACCGTTTGGTGCTCTTCAACCAGCGCTACAAGTTGTCATGTATGATGATATGATATAGGTTGAAACCTTGATACAGACAAAGACTCCACCTACTAAGATCTACGGACCAGATGTATGTTGAACGTCGGCGGCCAAAAGCTCTTCAACGTGCTGAAGTTCATCCTCCGGCAGTACGTCATGCCGTCCGTCATCGGGATGCGCGTACGCGGTACAGTCGTCGGGTGCGAGCTTGGACAAATGATTCATGGCTTGGTTGAACTCGCGAGGGTGGTGTTCCCATGTGCGCGTAAAACATGCCGCGAGCTCCCGCGCCTGCACATGCAGCTTCTGCAAGCGAGCCTCTTGGACCCGGAAGAGGCCCTTCATCTGCTGCATCAGCAGCATGCTGCGTGCCGTTAGATGCGTCACTGCCAGTCGCCGAGCCAACTGTAGCGCCGTGATCAGACCGTCGTACTCGACCTCGTTGTTCGTTGTCGCGGTACCGAGGTAGTTGGCCTGGTACACCACGCTCTGAGGCGGCTTGGGCTAAAAGACGAGCGAGCCACTTCCGCCGCAATGCAGGTCTTTCCAAGCAGCACCATCGAAGAAGTGTTGCTGCACGAGCGACTCGAAGACACGAGCTCGGAGCGCGTGGTGGCGTCGAGTGTGGTACTGGCGCTGCGCCTCGCAGTAGTTCAAAGTGACGTACGGGACGTTCACGTGGTCCGGCAGCGCGTCGTCGGCAGCGTGTATCTTGCAACAGCGTTGGTTCCAGAGCGTCCGGAGCGTGAGGTAGCGAAGCATCTACCAGGCTTGCTGCCCGACGCGATCAAACACGGCGCCGTGGGGAGCGTCAGTGTGTGGCCTGCACCAGCCACGCCGGCGCGGCTCGTGTGAGACAATCGAGCGTACATGGTCGGCGACCGTGATGCTCTGCGGGTCTCGGCCAAACCAAATACCTGCCACGTCGCTTGGGCAAGTGAGCACTGGACAAGCGTGTTGGCACTGCCATCTACAATGAGGACACATCGGTGCTGTTGCTGCCATCTGGAACGGGAACGCCTGGAGGTGCCAGCGGTACTGTAGCCAGCGCACGGCCGCGGAATACGGCAAGTGCTTCCATGACGGTTTTTACGCGGCTTCGTCGTGCGGCATCGCGAGCTGCTCGCACAGCTTTTGACGTCGCACTTGCTTGACGTCGCACTTGCTAGCGATCTAGTGATGGAGGCAACTGTGTCAATGCCTTGACAACGTGATGGCTGACGACGCGTTCGAGTGGGACGCGCCGACGCACCGAGCATTTGACCCACGCAGACGGCAGGTAGATGCGGTTTTGTGCTGGAGGCAGTTGAGCTTTGGCCTTGGCGCCGTGGGCAAGGGCGAGAAGGTACACATCCATTGCAGTGCGCTCGGTCCGCGAAGGTCGCCAGTCGCGTTGGTTAAAACCATATCGGACCGTCGAGAGAGCACGCTGCAAATGCAGTGGCAAACATTGCGTACGGCGAGTGGCGTACCACCCGTCCAGTGGAATCCGGTAGCGAGGCGTTGTTCGCGATCGGCTGGTAGCACAAAAAGTGCCGACGTCCTCGATCCAAACGCGAGCGATTGTCGAGACTATGTACGCAGTGTCCCGCACGAAGGTAATGGCCGTGCGAGCCCATCGAGAAAAATCGAGTTTTGCGGCCAGGTCCACGTTATGCACTCGGTCCGCGCGTCCCAGCGCATTGCAAAGCAGCCGAAACAGCCACAACTGAGCACCGTGTCCGTCGTGGCCGCCGGCAGTGGCCGCGCTGGTCCGTGGCAGACCTTGTCGAGGAGGTTGTCTTGCGGCAGGACCGACTTGACTGGCTGCTGTACCAGCCGGACGACGCGACGAACGACTTGTTGGCGGCACACAGCTTCCATGTTGAGAATGCCCCATCCTTGGTGAGCGCGCGGAGACTGAAGAATCGCCTTGGGTATGTACTGAGGGAGGCGGCCGCCCGTGCCGACAGCCTAGTTGCCGCACCAAAAGAAATGCCAAACGAGCTTTTCCCGCAAGAGACGCGCCTTGGAGGGTTCGCATTTCGCCTTCATTGCGGCCACTCACAGGCGTGCCGTGGTTGCCTCGTGCGCGCGCTCTGGGCGTTTCAACGTATCGGTGGAGAGTAGAAGTAAAGTTCTTAAAAGGAGCAGGCATAGGCCAGCCAAACCTCGACACAGTTTCGATTTGGCTTCGGCCTGCTACGTATCGATAATTCTTCGCAACGACACTGGCGGCGGTCCGACTCTAAGCCGGCAGCAGCGTCCGGATCGTCTCGTGCTTCAACTCCGACGCTCCGCTCCAACGGCGGCAGTCGTCTCTGGTGTCGACAATGGCGCTTCGGTGCGGCGGATGGCAGCAGCGATGTTCCGAGGCGGCGACCTTACAGCAGGAGCACGCAACGCCTGCCAAGCGCCAGCGCACCGATTTGCAGCCAATTTCAGCCAGCAATGTGCCCGTCGGAGCAGCGCTTTCGCAGTATCGCCCCCAGCAGCATCAAAGCACGCGCGCCCCTCATGGAGATCGCGCTCGATGCACAGGTGGTGCCAACTGAAGATCCTACGTGTGCATGCGCGCCACCGCACCCGCCGGCCACCGGTGCGGCGACCTTGCAACCGGATCAAGCCGCGCTCTCGCAGCGCCCGCTTATCGACTTACCCCCACAACGGCTACCTCCACCACAGGCGCAGCGATACGGCGTACACGCCGTGCGAGCCAGATCGGAAGGAGGCGCCCACTGCCTCGGCACCGGCGCGCCGAGCGACCCGTTTCAGGCTTGACCGCGATGCTCCGACGCAACGGCTCGCCGCGAAACCTACCGTGCTGCAACTCGACGTCGCCCAGCCACGGCGTGAACGCTTCGACCTCTGCCCAGCGATTCTGGCCACGCCAACTCGCTTTGACCTCGGCGATTGCCCACGAAGCTTAGCCCGGCCTCGACATCGGCGACAACGGGGGCAACAAAACCTCACCACTTGGCGTATCGGACGCCCGGTCCACACGAAATCCATCAGGAACGACGTCTGGTGGGTCGGGTTATCTGGCCAAGTTGGCGTCAACTGCAGCCGGACGGCCACATGGCGCAAGACACTCCAACCCTCGGCGGCGCTCCTTCAGCCAACCACCGAACGACGCCAGTACTGACAGCGATGGGCAGCAGCAAGCAACACCACCCGACAGCAACGTCCAAGTACTCACAAAGCACGTCACGCCGTGTTTCCACCACCGCCCGGACATCAACACCCTCCTCGGCCCAGTACCTCGAGCATCGCTCTATCTGGGGGCTGCGCTGCTGAGCCACTCTCGATATCGGCGTCGAACGAGGACCGCGGTCCCAAGCCGACTCGACACCGGTGCTTCCATGCGGCGACGGCGACGACGTCCTCTACGACACCGACGCCTCAATTCATCGACACCCGTAGCGTTCCGGTCGTCTCGCGCTTCGATACGGACGCATCTCACTATGACACCGGCGCTTCGGTGCAACGACGGTAGCAGCGTTCCGGTCGTCTCTCGCTTCGACCCTGGTGCTTCGATGCGGCGACGGCAACGACATGCTGTCGTTCCCCGCTACGACACCAACGCTTCGATGACCCACATCAACCGTCGCCACCGGGGCCGGCACTACATACTGACGCGCAAGACCGACATCGAAGCGAGTGGCACGGCAAAAGTCGCTTCAAGACGGTGTACCGCCACCGAGCTACGCCCGTGAACAGCACGGCCTCGAACGAAAAGCACCATCACGGTCGCACGCCGCTGTCACGTCGCAACAAACGCCAAGGCACGATGGCGCGGCTCCGACGAACCGCAGCAGCGACGGAGAAGCCGCGCTACGTCCCAGCTTGGCTCCTTTCTACTACCACGCCCGACCGTCAGTGACGCGCACACCTTCGCTATGCAGTCGACAACGACGCCGATCATCTATCACTGGGACACCGCCTCGCCACAACCCATGGCAGGCGAGGTAATCAACCTCCTCTGCCCCCTTTGCTGGCAACAAGCGCAACTCCTGAAACCAGTTGTCTGCTGCCAAGTCGCCGAGACCAACCATCAAGCCAAGGTACCGACGCCGCTCGGTCGGCTGGAGCAGCGGAAGGCCGTGGTAGTTGTCGAGCGCGTGAGCTTTGTTCCGACAGATGCCAAATGACTTGTCGAGGTGGACTTTAAGACCCGTCATGTCGGCAAACTGAGCGAAGTGCTCAAGCACCCAAGGCAACGAGTCCATCCGCTGGACAAAAACCACCGTACAAGTTGTCATGTATAGAAAGCCATACCGTCGTTATAGCAATAATACCTGAAATAACGGTCGACGCGTCCATGCGTTGGTAGGTTTACCCATCGGGTTGAAATCACTTGTTGAATAAAAAGTCGACTTGGTTAGAGCTGGCAACGGGGCTCTTGCGGTGGACCATTCGAACGTCACCGTTGTAGGCCATCATGACCCAATCTTGGTACCGGCGGTGCCCGAGCCGGGTGGTCCACCCAACGTCAAATTCCCAGTGCTGGTTGCCGTTCTGCAAGTTGCAGGGGTACCCGTGGACGAGCGGTCGCTGGTCCTTTTCGCTCCAGTACGCGTCGAGACAATGGTCCGAGGCGACATGACGCAGCTGATCGATTTTGTTGGACTCGGGAGACTTGTAGACCTGCCACGCACCACCGCCGCACGCGTCACGGCCTGCCAGCTTGACGGTACTGCCGCAAATCTGCAGATATTCGGGGTAGTGGATGGTCCACTCGGGCGCGTTGGCGTGAAGACCAGGGAACGGTGACGGCTGCTTCATGATGACATACTGGTTGTCGGGCAAATTCTGGACGACCGCCTCGATGCCCGACGTCGTGTTGGAGGGCGCCGCGTTGACGTGGGCAACATCATTTGTCGCCAGCGTCATGGCCGAGACCGCGAGCATGACCGAGATATGGAGACCCATATTTGGTTCAAAGGAAATTGAAAAGTGAAAACCAGAGTGGAAAAGCTATGGTGCGCTGGCCTTTTTTCACGTCACGCCGACGAAAACAGCTCGTTGGCTTGCGTCGGTCGACGGACGCGCCTACGGCGCTGGGGTAAAGACACGGGGATGCACCTCCGCCGATGGGTAGACGGCTCACGCGTACTACATGAAGTACAGTGCAGTGTCGTCTTAAAAGCATTACCGAATGCTTTTCTAACCCGCGACGCGCATGGATGATCAGATTGTTCCCGATCGAGACGGTCTTGTTAGCGCAAAAACAGGCCATCATCGTCCATCGTTGACGTAGCTTTGCGTGGACGTCCCCGCACCATGCTTGTCGCTTTGAGTGACGGGAAGGCGACGCCTCTTCTTCACGACGATACTATCTGCCCTGACTGGCTCAAAAAACACCTATAAGAGCCTAGCTCAATGCTAGTATGGCGTTATGAGCTTACATACGAGGAAAGACGCAACACCGCAACGTCGGACACAAAAGCTCGCATGAGCGACCTCCATGGGTTTGATTGGTTGAAGTGCACCAATCAGCGTATAGAAAAAGATAGCGTTCAAATCGATGGGGTCGAGGGGCGCAAAAGTGCGCGAACAGCGCGTCCTCATGCTCAACTTCCGTGGTCGCATATCGAGGACGGACAGCGGGATGGGGATACAAAGGCGCAGCGCAGATCTATTATACATACGTGCCGCGTAGCATTATTGGCGCTGGCAACTTGCGAGACGCCAAGACATGCCTCGTGCTTGCCTTCATGGCGCCGGCAGCAGAGCTGCTCATGAGCTGCCTCGCCGCGATCCAAAGCATGGTGTTTGGTCTCTAGACCTCGAACCACGCCGTGCTCCGCCACTGGAAAAGGACGTTCGAAGCGTTCTCGATCGGGGTTGGTAGTCTCATTTTGCGCTTTCTCCTGAGATCAAGTGCGAACGCGGCCGGGTCGAGCGCTTCTCAATAGCGTCAGTGTGTGGTTGACCTTTATACCGCTCACAGCTCAGTGTCGTGCAATGGCACGGCGCCCTGCGTGAGTACGTGTGGGGGGTAAGCGCACTTGGCGAAATCTACAAACACGACTACTGCTTTGATGTATGCCTAGAGTTTCTCGTCAGTGCTTGGATCTTGGGTCGACGCGGATGACCAAGTGGGACGCGACGTCGAATGATGATAATATGAATATGGGAAGGTGCGGGGACTGCACATGGACGGATGTGTGGTTCTCGAGGAGGAGTGGTGGACCGTCGAAGTCAACTAGAAGGAGGCTCACTTTCAAGAAGTGCACTAGCACCGGCCTGCAGTTTGCTGTGCCTTTCCGAGTGTCTTCCAGACCGGCGAGGATGGTAGATTCTCTTAGGTGATGAGCCCAACGCATCCACTCGAGAAGGGGCAGACGCTCATGTACGACGTCGACGCTCTGCTTGAGGAGATCCTCGCGGAACGTCGGGATGTCGCCAAGACGATTGAAGAAAGTGAGAAGGAATGCACGAGCGCCGATGAGAAGATCAAACGCCAGGGAACACCACCCAAGCGGGGCGTTGGGTCCCCAAGCAAGAAGGTCCAAGCGCAGAAGAAGTCGAGCAAAGCTCATGGTGGCAGTGGTGACGGCGGCGACAGTACCAGCAGCAGCAGCAGCTCGGATGAGCCGCCAAATAACTCGAGCGGTGGCGACGGTTCGAGCTCCAGCGATAATGGTCAACGTTACAAAGCGAGCGGCCGACTCGCTCCGCCAGACAAGCTTCCAAAATTCGATGGCACCGATTTTGGTCGCTACAGCGCAGACGTCGAGTCTGTGCTCACGCAGCAAGAGATTTAGGACATTGTCTCGGGCGATCGCAAGACGCCAAGTCAGCACAAGAAGCCGTTCAAGTACCGTGGTACAAGGATTACATGCGCGGAATGGTGAAGGTCATCACGACGTCTCTTGATGTGACGAACAAGCACGAGACGAGTACGTTCAAGACGGCCAAAGAAATGTGGGACTATCTGCTGCAAAAGTACGTGCGCAGAGAGATCACCAAGGTCAAGGGCGAGCTTCACAAGGCCGAGTTCGACCCACGTCAGATGACGATGGACGAGTACCTCACGACGTACAAGGTGCTCGAGAAGCGGCTGCACGACATGGGACGACCAATGCAGCCCGAAGAAAGCAAGGAGACGCTCCTCATCCACACGAGTGCATACATCGATATTGGCCTGCGCTACAACGGAAAGGCGGCCAAGCGTGCGTCACGGAACGACTACATGACGTACCCGCAGTACGAGATCGACAAGCACAAGTGGGGTGAGCCCGCACCCGTGGCCTTGGGGAAGACGTCATTGGTCGAGCACGAGCGTGTGGCGTCGATCAACGATGCAGACCAGATGACCGAGCTGATCGACTTTGTGCGTGCGAGCCCCAAGAACAAGCGTGAGCTCAAGGGCCTCTCGCACATCACGTGCTACAACTGCCAGCAGACCGACCACTACCAGTCGACATGCAAGAAGAAGAAGAAGAAGGCCCGATGCGCTCAAGAAGACGACTAGAAAAAAATTCTCAATGAGAAGAGTCAAGGCAAGCTGGGTCATCGAGGTATCAAGACCGAGAACGACGCCAATTTGTACGCCGTTCTCAGCCCAGGCTCTGAGCCTCGCGAAGACGACGGGGTCCTCAAGTTCATCCTCGACACGGGTGCGACGGGGCCTTGGTCAACGTCCTCGTAGCGACCGGCCGCTTTGACGTCGCCCTCGTCAGCTTCAAGGTCGACCACAAGGGCGGGTACACCAACTTCCTCTCGGCGGTCGAGCCGCACCCAGCGTGTAAGATCCCAACCAACGTCGCCTCAAGTCTTCCCGACAAGAGGGTCCACGCGTACCTCGGTGACATCAGAAGGGCGACCCCATCCTTGCGCGATCGTGTTTTGGCCGACGCCATTCCGCGCGAGCATCGTAGGGCTCGACGCTGCACTGCCGCTTGCGCAAACGGCCATCGACAACGTTCCGGGCGATCGCCTCGGGCCGAGCGTCCGCGACTTGCTGCTTGGCGTCATCTCAGCCGTGGTGCTTGTCCAACCTCAGCCAACGCAACTCACCGCCATCACGAGAGTGTTCGTCCAGTGCAACGACGTGGCACTCGTGCGACTCTTGCTCCGCGACGCGCTCTCACTTCGGCGTACCAAGATCTCAGAGGCGTTGGCATCTGCATCCACGCGCTCCTCAAGTCGTATGGCTGGATCCCACTCTTTTTTGCGCTCCAAGGCCTCTTTGAGCGCTCCAAGGGTGCAATAGACGATCTCTGTCATCCCCTCGCGAGTCTCGCGGGCCTCACGAGTGGTGACGATGCGTTGTGTCCGCCGCTGGAGCAGCCGTCGTGTGCGAGCTCGTCAAGTTGTTCTCGGGCGTCCTGCTCGGGTACGTGAAGAACCAAAACACTCGCTCCAACACGCACTACTGGATCCTTCTTGACTGGTACATCGACAAAGTGGCGCCCCACATGCCGCACGGCAACTGGATCAGCCCGCACCTCCCACCGGCCCTCGTCGTCGTCGATAGCTACCTCTTCCGTCCCCCGTTTAACGACGTGATTGCTAGCAGCGGACTCACGCTGACGGATAAGCTCCGGAGCCTTTCGATAGGCCTCGTGGATGCGATTGCGCGCCAGCCGACGCTGCATCGGCCAAAGTACTTGGCGGCGATCTCGACCAAAATCAACGAGGTCGTTACCGTGCTCCCGAGCTCCCGTCGGATACGTGGCACCTTGGTATTGAATGGGTGGGGGCACGCGGCGTGGCGAGATCGACCGACAACGATCTCTCTGCGGACAGCGTACGTGCGCGATGTGCTCGACGCAATGCACACGCTCGGCCACTGCGACGAGACGCTGTTTACTGCTATGCGCCACTTCAGTGGCCACAAAGTCTTCATCGCTGGCCTCTTGCGGTTTCTCCAGCACCCAGCGACCGCAGTCGCGTCCCGTGTGCAGTCGCTCGTGGCCAGCTACGTCTTCTCGATCGCACCGTCATTTACCGTCACCGACGCCTTCGGTCGCATGCGAGAAAGCAAGGCCCTCGCCCCGTCGGTCAAGAGCGTCGTCGGCGCCCTCCATGTGCTCACGCTCGTGGCGCCTCACGAGGCGCGAACGTTCGGCCTCGCGTGGGCTGCGACGCTACCAGAGACGCTGGGCGCTACCCGCTACGCGCTCTACCCTGTCGTCATCCAGGCGACGAAGCGGCTCCCGCACGATACTGGCCTCATTGCGGACTTGGCCGCGCACTGACGCCCGTACCCGACGTGAGCAATATTGCCATCGATGACATTGCCGTCGACGTCGACCACTGCGCGCAGTGCGCTGCGTTGGCCGACTTTTTGCGTGACGGCACGCGGATTTAGTTTGAGTTTGCTGGTCTCTGCGAGGCACTCTTGGATATCGTTGCCAGCCATCCAGGCCAGCTCGAATTGCCCCACGACGACGCCGAGCTCCTTTTTCCCATGACGGATGATCTTTTCCACGTTGACGTGCGTGGCGGGCACAACTCGATGGGCGAGACAAAGAGGGGCCAATACGTGGTTCGGAAGCGCAAGACGGATCTCGAGCTGCTCCTTGTACGCCTGAGTCATCTGCACCACAACACCCAGGCCGTCGCGAAGCTCCAATTGCTGCTCCAGCCGATGCGCGCGATCGAGGCGGCGGACACGATCGAGCAACCGCCGGTGAAGCGCCCTCGTCTCGACACCTAGTTGCCGTGCTGCCCTCACGCCCTCGATTAACCACAATACCTTTGATGCATACGACTCCAAGTGACGTTGGTGTTGTGTTCGAGCAAGTCTCGACGAGTGAATCGACAGCAATCATGTAGATAAGACGACGCGACGAGCGCCAAATCCCATGCCACAGGGGGCTCGAAGTGGCGCCTGAAAAATCAAGGTGCTATCCAATCACACATCGCCTTCAATCGCATTTTGACCCATCCTGACGCTGGGATGCAACATGTAGATCCTTGTTACGATCTGCCATCATGCGTGCCAGCAAGACAGTGAACCCGACGACAGCAGCATACGAAGCCGCGTTGGCCCTGCTGCGCAAGTCGACATACTACGTCCACCAGAGCACTGTCTCGTGCCACGTCCACCCGCCACGACGTCCTCGCTACGTGGATGCCAGACGACGCGCCGCTCGAGAAGCACCGCTTTGGCCTCCATCTCGACGCTGCCGCGTTTCTCTTTTGACCATCTCGACACGCTTGATATGGTGTTGGTCGATCCCAGATGCCAGTCGACGTCGTTGCATGGCTTGCGACCTTGCCGATGACGCTGAACGTCGCCCGGTGGCTGTTTGGGTCGGACACTGTCTTTGGGTTCAAGAGCTCGGCCATGCGCTTGCCGTTGCCGCCTCGACAGTGATCCGCCGCTCCAACACCAGCGCATCGGCGTCGATATCGACTGCATTCAAATCTGCTTGCCGTTTGACGTCCTCATGATTCAAGACGCGCTCTTTTGCAACGCCCTCGTGGCCGGTGCCCGAGCCGACCGGCATCATCGTCGCTGCCGTCGACGTCGACCATTGCGAGCAGTGCGCTGACTTGTGCGCTTCTTGCACGATGCGATGCACCCCGAGAGTCTGTGCGAGCGGCTGCGACAGCACGTGAAGGACCCACGAGCACCAGAAAGGGTTGACGCAAGCACGTAGGTACACGACAAGGAGGTTTGGCAGTGCTTAACGTTAGAGTGCTTGTCGACGCGGCTTGATCCTTGTCGTTGCAGGGCAACGCGTGGACGATAACGACGTCCTTCTCCATACGTATCAAAGTATCAACTGGATACACGGTTGCTATAGTCGACCGTACCCACGGCGCGCTGTCGTCGCTGGCGTAGACGCCAATACCCATACGTGACGTCGTAAACGCAGCCACAACATGCACCGCCGGCAACCTTGGAGCGACTTCTGCTTTGCTGGACGACACTCCTTCCCGCCGTCGCTTTCTGGACGAGCCATGGGTCGTGAACGTTGCTCGTAGAAGACCAAGGACGCCAGCGTCGACGTCAACATCGTTGTTGAGTGCGGCGGCGTCGTTGGAGGCCCGTCTAGCGCATTGTAGTCTCGTTGGACCACCCACCGTAGACAGGAGGTCCATACGTCGTATTGTGGTCGATGGTGGCGGCGTCCAGCGACGTCTTGCGGCAAAAGCGGCCTTTGGCTTGCTGCAGGGGACCCGTGCAAGGGCAACCCGCTGGACCGGTGCGACCAGGCACTTAAGTGCGATGCCGGCGCTGGAGGCGGCCGCCGTCATGTGTCGATATGTGTCCATGGACGTCGACGACGATGGTGCCGACCGTGTCCAAACTGTGGCTACGCTTCGATGCGTACTTGCACAGTGCGGTTACATCGATTGGCGTTGCTGCATAGTCGACAAGCATGTCGACAAGCTCGAGTTCCAGTGCGCGCGCCTTCTCCAAGCACAGATCCAAGCACAGGCGGGAAAAACACCATGCTTTGGATCGCGGCGAGGCAGCTCATGAGCAGCTCTGCTGCCGGCGCCATGAAGGGACGCCAAGCACGAGGCACGTCTTGGCGCCAATACTGCTACGCGACAAGTAGATCTGCGTTGCGCCTGGGAAATCACTCCGGCAGGCGTACGTGTGTACATGGCGCCGAAGAGTCCCAAGAGAACATCTGACGAAGCAGGCGTGAGGATACTATGGAATGAGCCTCCAGTTGCACCTGTGTATCCCCATCTCGCTGCCCATCTCGATACGCGACCACGGAAGTTGAGCATGAGGACGCGCTGCTCGCAGCACTTCCGCTCCCCTCGACCCCATCGATTTGAACGCTACTACATATTGTATCTTTTTCTATACGCTGATTGGTGCACTTCAACCAATCAAACCCATGGAGGTCGCTCATGCGAGCTTTTGTGTCCGACGTTGAGGTGTTGCGTCTTTCCTCGTATGTAAGCTCATAACGCCATACTAGCATTGAGCTAGGCTCTTATAGGTGTTTTTTGAGCCAGTCAGAGCAGATAGTATCGTCGTGAAGAAGAGGCGTCGTCTTCCCGTCACTCAAAGCATGGTGCGGGGACGTCCACGCAAAGCTGCGTCAACAAACCTGTGGACGATGGTGGCCTGTTTTTGCGCTGACAAGACCGTCTCGATCGGGAACAATCTGATCATCCATGCGCGTCGCGGGTTTAAAAAGCATTCGGTAATGCTTTTAAGACGACAGTGCACGGTACGCGTGAGCCGTGTACCCATCGGCATCGGCGCAGGTGCATCCCCGTGTCTTTAGCCCAGCACCGAAGGCGACCGACGCGAGCCAACGAGCCGTTTTTGGTCGGCGCGTGAAAAAAGGCCAGCAGTTGACGAAAGCTTTTCCACTCGTGATTTCACTTTTCAATTTCCTTTGAACCAAATATGGGTCTCCACATCTCGGTCATGCTCGCGGTCTCGGCCATGACGCTGGCGACAAATGATGTTGCCCACGTCAACGCGGCGCCCTCCAACACGACGTCGGGCATCGAGGCGGTCGTCCAGGACTTGCCCTACAACCAGTGGAGCATCTTGCGTGAGCCAGCGCCCGACGGTATTTACGTCAACGCGCGCTCCAAGCCCATCAAGCCCCAATGGCTGCAGATTTGCGGCAGTACCGTCAAGCTGGCAGACTATGACGCGTGCGGCGGCGGTGTGTGGCAGGTCTACCAGTCTACCGAGTCCAACAAAGTCGATCAGCTGCGTCATGTCGCCTCGGACCATTGTCTCGACGCGTACTGGAGCGACAAGGACCAGCGACCGCTCGTCCACGGGTACCCCTGCAACATGCAGAATGGCAACCAGCACTGGGTCTTTGACCTTGGGGAAACCAAGCTCGGGCACCGCCGGTACCAAGATTGGATCTTGGTCGCCGACAACGATTACATTGAAATGGTCCACCGCAATAGCTTAACTGCCAGCACTCCGGGAGCCTATTTTGTATTTATCAAGTAATTTCAACCCGATTGGTAAACTTGCCAACGAACGGACGCGTCGACCGTCATTTCAGGTAGTTAATGCTATAACGACGGTATGGCTTCCTATACATGACAACTTGTACGGTGGTTTTGGTCCAGCGGATGGACTTGTTGCCTTTTTCAGGAGTCGCGTTTGTTGCCAGCAAAGTTTGCTGATTCTCGGCATTTGGTTTGGCCGAGACCCGCAGAGCGTCACGGTCGCCGACCATGTACGCTCGATTGTCTCAAACGAGCGTGACGTACTGCCGGACGATGAACTCCAGCACGTTGAAACCCCCAACCCATTCAACGCATTTCGCTTCGACTACCTTGACCAGGAAGAACAGCTTGCGACCAACACGGGCAGGGTGGCGACGCTGGACAAGTGCTCCGAAAGCACAAGATAGCTGCCCAACGTCATAGCGATCAAACGGGAAAGCGTTCACAGCTCCGTCGTGGGTGCTCGCGAACCAAATATGACTTGAGCCTCAAGCGCCTCGCATCAACACATAACAGACATGGATGTCTCTGCACACAAAAGTATGGGAGACACTCTTCTAGTAGAGCTTTGGGTCCATCGTTTTCTAGGCCTCGGACGGCGCCAAGAGGGCTTGGGCTTCCGGCTCGTCGCCAGTATTTGCGTCTTCCAGCTGGCGCGGGAGGAGACACAAGAAGGCGAGGATGGCAACTTGGAAGATCGCGCCGAGCACGAGCAAGAGCCAGAGGTTGCTATAGTCAATGGCGTACGTCACCGGATCCTGGGTGATCCCGAGAGCCGACACCAAGAGCGCGGAGAAGAAGGCGCTCACGACGCCGCCAAAGTCCATGAACGAGAGATACAGCGCGTACGTGAGTCCGTGGAGCTCCTTCTTGCGCGGGCAAAAGGTCGTTGCCACCACGAGGAGCTGGAGGAGCGCAAACTCGCCGGCAAACGCCGTCACAAACGACTCGATCGCGCAGAACGTGCACACATCCACGGGCAGACTCGCCACGTCCATGGGCGGCGCCAGCAGCAGCTGCGGCAGGCTCGCGAGCGTCATGAGCACGGTCGAGACACCAAAGACCGTGCGGATGCCGAAGCCGCGCGTGCAGCGTGCGTAGATCGCACACGAGACGACGCGGCCACATGCCGGCCAGCGACGAGTACTGAAGGCACTGCAGCTCGTTCTTCAGTAGAAAGTAC